TCTCCGAGATAATTACATCATAAATGCGCTATAGCCACTTCCAGTGTATCAAGCTCGAGGAACTCTAAAAAATGCATGATTAACCTGTCAATGCAATTATAAGGACAAACTCCTAATACCATTCAACCATCTGTACATCGCAGGTATAATAACATAATTATCCTTATTGTTGGCATCATCGTCTTCATTTTCGCGACTGTTGGAGTGTTGTTAGTTATGGAAACTCTCAGTGCCTTCCTGCATGCATTAAGGCTTCATTGGGTGGAGTTCCAAAACAAGTTCTATGAAGGAGATGGTTACAAGTTCTATCCGTACTCATTTGCCTTGCTTGATTATGAGGATGAATGATACTCTACCATCATATAAATTATGGCTAATTAAGGGTTTATTAGTAGTTCAAATGTGTACAATCGCAGGATGTTTTCTTGATTCTTTCATCTGGATGGGCCATGCATAGACTAGGCAATAAAACTATACTATATTGCCTTTGGAAAGCTTTTGCGTTGAGCACCCTCTCTTGTATTATTATGTCAGTAGAAAGAATAAGCAGTCCGTGAGACCTGCAGCTGTTTTAGTAATTAACTCATTTCTGCAGTTATGATTGTGTGTGACAATTGGGTTATATAATCTTATCTATTTTTGTGTGGATTGGCATGAATTTTGTTTAACATTATGTTGCAATGAAATCGTAGAATATGCTGTTTTTGTCCTCTTAGTGAGGCCACTGTCTTTTCCCAAAAGAAAAATTAACTAGTGCTGTAATTAGACGTTGAAAGGGAATGTATCATCACGAGGGACTTGAAATTTTTAACAAACAGCAACAATTATTACAAATATTTTTATTGTTTCAGAAAATACATAACACAATAAACCTCTGATTTGCCATTAAAAAAGTAAAGACGCAAATCAGTAAAAACATAACTTACGTACAGAAACAGAAATGCAGTGAGCAAATTAGAATGCAAACTTAAGTACTAACAGCTGCAACAGTGGAAACCATCGAGTCGACCCCACAAACATTATGGCCCGTACAGATTTTGTAGTATCCCTTCTCTCCCCAGTTCTCTCCCCAAGAGTTCTTAATAATCCAATATGGCTTCTTTTTCAGTCGAATCGGAGCATAGCCAGCTGCACCATATCCGACCAACAGCACACCATGATCCAACACCCGCTTAAAGCATATGTATGGACAGGAAACCCCTCCGATGTATGTCTGCATGAAAGCGGCGTTGATACCCACTGCATCCAACAAACAAAATTGCTGTCAGAACATAGTAATATAACTGGAATTGTATTTCTACCTAGTGTACTAGATTCTTCTTAAAACTCAATTTCGCGACGGCTCAGCAGTGCAACACGCAAATAAACACAACGCCAAAGCATGTTCTGTTGAGCACTTGAGCTCAAATGAACGGACAGAAAGTTGTACCTGCAAGGGGGCCATTCTTAACAAGATTTGCAGCAATTTGATCTTCATCCAGGGAAACGACACTAAAGTTAGCAACCTTTGCGGCAACCTTGGTCTTGTCAAATTTGCAAGCTGCACGGTCAGTGCCTGTGTAAGGATAGTCTTCTTCCTTCATGAGTCCACCGGCTTTAAGTGTGTACTCAAAGGCACTGTTCATCAGTCCACCACTACAGCCAGAGTCGCATGAATCTTTTTCTTCCGGGTCACACTGCAGATGGTGGAAGTTGATATAAATACAATGCTTACTCCACAACACCAGAAAATATATATAAATGGCCTAATTCTCAAGAAGAACTACCGGGTTCAAGCTTCAGGAAATAAATATTGAAAAATGCCAGACATTGATAGGGATTACAAGATTGTAAAGCTTTCCTTCCGTAAAGATGCATTTTACGTAATTTACACCATCTAACCACCACTTCAAACCAACAATTTAGAGATAGGTGAACAAATAAATAGATTTCAGCGTCTTTAATGAGAAATTTCTATATTTGAACGCTATCAATGTTTGGTATCAAAATCCAAATGAATCGTATGATCACTTAAATAGATTCTTTCAAAACCTCTAAACATTCTAATAGGAGGGAAGCAATGGATATGAAGAACATGCAACAGGGTGTGGATTCAACCAAAATTCAACTATCAAAAACCTCCAAACATTCCAATAGGAGGCAAACTTCACCATAAATAGCTAATCAAACGAATATGAAGAATATATAATCTGATGTGCATACCTAATAAAATCACAGCCAAGTTTAACCAAAATACTGAAAAAAAAAAAAGACCCAATATGAAGTCTAATCATGCTCTTCGAAGACAAGAAATAGCAATAGAAGGCCCACCGGCCACGTTTAAGAGAGAGGGTTAAAGAGCCGCACCTCATGATCACAATCTACAAGCTGTTGCTCACTGAGGCTCACAAGCTTTCCAGTCGACAAAAAGTTGGCACCTTCCAGCGCTCCCGTGGTGCTAAACGACCAGCATGATCCACAGGAACCCTAGTTTTACACATTCAAGTGAGAATCATGTGCAGAGATTCACCAAATTAAACTTAAATTCAAAGTCAACGCCCGAGTAACACGTGAGCCTTAAAATCCAAATTTGAATTCCTTTTCAAGCATCGATAAAATCTAGGTTCAACAGTTCTTTACGATTAGGATTATAGTAACTAAACAGATATTCCAATAAAAAAGTTGCAACTAAGCTAAACTAACCTGATTTTTTACTGGTGTAACGGCACCATGGTCTCTCCAATCGAAATCAGTGGGAAGATCATTAGTCGGAAGGATCGGCGCCTTGTTAGCGTCAGCGGGTAGGCGGAGGCGACGGTTGACGCCGAGGTGCTGTCGACGGAACTCTTTAGGAGTGAGATCCGAGAACTGAGTAACGCCGTGGACGGCGGAGGGGTCAAGCTTCTGGTGGCTCCTGGCGCGGCGCATGTTAGTCTTGAACACGGAGAGCCGGTAATCGTGCTCCTCCTTGGTGGCGTACACCTTTCCGAACTTCTTCTTGAAGATCGCGAAATGATGATCGTCAGTCAACGATTTGTCATCGTTCGCATTTCCTTGGTCAACGACTTGACGGATCAAAAGATCGTCATTTTCGCCGGCGTCGCCTCCTGCTACGGCGGAACAAAACAACGTCCCAAGGAGTATGGAGCAGAGGAAAATAAGAGCAAAACGAGAAGCCATTGTGCTCAGAGGTCGAGCGGTGGAAGCAATATGTAGAGGTAGATAGTTGTATCTATAGTGTTACCAGTCGGGCGTAGGGGAACCCAACCAATGGATAATGACAACGTGTCGTAAAACCATTTGTAGAGGAATGATATTTTGTTTGCTTCTCGGGTTTGGGAGGGCGAATTCTTCGATTGGAAGCAAAGATATATTGGAAATCAGAAGTAATACTTTCTTTCTCCCAATTTTATAGACGGAGTTGTTTATTTCTCTTATCTCAAATATATAAGCTTAATATTTTGTTTTGCTCTTTTACTAATATATAATTTTATTTATTTTTTCTCATTTAATATGCTAACTTCTTGAAATCATTTAAATATATACATTTCCTACTTTTTGAAAATATAGAACAACTCTCGTTTTTTCTTCAAATCAACTCATTCAAATTCTTTATTAATTTCAACAATAATTTACTACTACACACTAAAAATTAAATAGGGGTAAACTAAGAAAGATCTTGATCTTGATCTTGATCTTGACAAAAATTAATTTTTCAATGCATTAAAAAAAAAATTTTAATCCGTGTGACAAATGAAATAAGTCGAACGGTGGAGTATCTCTCGAGTTAATTGTTCCAATGGTAACTGAACTTATATCCATATCTTTGATTAGTCGTTGAAGTTTAAAATGTCGAGTTTTGATCACTCAACTTATGTTCATATCTTCGATTATTCATTGAACTTAGGTCAATGTCTTAGATTGTTCATTGAAATTTAAAATGTCAAGTTTTGGCCAATGAATTTTGAAATATGTCGTACGTTACTTACTAGCATAATTGTTGAATTTTGAAAAATATCGAGTTTATAATGACTGCGTACAACATTTTTCGAAATTCAGTGAGTAATGTACAATATTTTTCAAAATTCAGTGTTCAAAACTCGATATTTTAAACTTAATGAACAATCGAAAACATGAACATAAGTTCAATGACTAAAACTTGATATTTTATACGTCAATGATCAATCAAAGACATGGACCTAAGTTCATTGACCATTGGAACAATTAACTCGTATCTTTCACTTGACAAATGTTATTGACATTTTAGGCCTCGTTTGAACTATATTAATGTAAGAATAACAATAAAAAATATAGTCGTTATGAATTTCTCACAAAAAATAAAACTAAAATATGGTGATTTGATGTGATGAATAACAGTCATATTTTTTTTTTTTATTCCTAACGAACAAATAGGTAGGAGTGGGCAAAAACCGACCTAGCCCAATCGAACCGATTGGGTTGGGTCGATTTTTTATTTTTTTAGGGCGATTTTCGGTCTTTGGTTTGAACAATCAAGTTGGGTTGCAGGTTGGTATGTCAAAACCAACCCGACCCGAACCGTCGAATTAAAAAAAAACACCAAAACGCGACTTAAAATATGAAGAAACGAAAAAAGCCTTAAATAATCTACCGACTAAAGAATTTCACTTCGCTCCTTCTCTGTCGCCTTCGCTCTTCCTGCCACCGACCCAAATCGCCGACGTCGATCCAATTGCTGCCTTGCCGGTCATCGTTTTGTCTAGGTTGTCCACACGTAGAATAAGTATATTTCTTCTTTTTTCGACACTTTCTCCTACTCTCCACACGCTGTTTGTCAGTGTAAGTTGTGTAAGTAAGTGCGTAACTTTGTTCTACTACGCGTCTTCATCATCAACACAAATACACACAGATTTCTTTCTGTCTCAAGCATCAGAAGCCTATGATTTGATAAAAATAACTCTTGTTTTTTCTTAAAATAACGATAAATTAGAAAATCTTGTAAGCAAAATAAAGAAATGTTTTAAATTTTTTTTGGAAAATAATGAAAAACAAAAAAAAATTCACCCCCAGATTTTCTTTTGCCAAATCTATTTTAGTTTTATGACTCAAGCCTTAGTTATATTTAAGGTTGTAGAATACTGTATTATCTTTAAAAAAATTTATGATTTGCTAATACTATATTATCTTTGGTTGTATATCTTTGCAGAATACTGCCTTAGTTTTAGAATACTGTATTATCTTTGGTTGTTGTTAATATGTTGTTTTTGATTTACTGCTTCTTTGGTTGTTGTTATATCTAAGGTTGCAGAAGACATTCTGTTGTTATTCAGTCCTCTAGAAAGTACAGTCAGAATAACGTGTATTGTGCTCAAGTAATGGACTCAGGTGCAATAATTTTCCTTGTAGTGCATATATAATTGTTAGTTAATAGATGTATTTTGGGGTATTCATGATTTTTGTGGAATATGTTGGTAGATATGAATGTACAGGAAGAGCGTGGCACACAAGCTCAATAAAAGATACCAATTTACAATCTTGTCTTCCTCCACGTGCTCCGTCAACATTGGGTAAACGAAAAACTAACAAATTATCTTCTTATGTTTGGGATCATTTCACTCTATTAGGCTCAAGGGATGATCCAAATGTTAGATGTAAGTGTAATTATTGTGGAGTGGATTATGCTTGTGGCGCTAAGA